TGTCTTAGAGGTCAGGAATTTTCCTGAGAAAATAATCCAGGTTTGGGGACTATATTGTTTCTGTCTGGAGTTTGTATAAACATCTTGTTTGGGCTCCTCCATATTTTGAAGGGGTACTAGCTCTGATTAAGGGTCAAGACAAAAAACAAAGTAAATATTTGAAATGGACTTATTGAATTACGATGATTGAGTCTTATAGGAACTAAGACTTGATTTGAAGCTTTAAAAAATTGTGATAAAATACACCTAACATAAAATTTACCATCTTAGCTATTTTAAGTATACAGTTCAGTGACATTTACGTAGTTGCACAACTATCACCACTATCCATCTCTAGAAATCTTTTTCTCTTGCAAAACTGAAACTTTGTATCCATTAAACAGTAACTCTCCATTCCCCTACCTCTAGCCCCTGGCAACCACCATTCTACTTTCTGTCTATAAGAATTTTATTACTCTAATAACTCAGATAAGTGGAATCTTATGTCTCCTTGTGATTGGCTTATTTTGGTTAGCATAGTGTCCTCAGGGTTCATCCATATTGTAGCATGCATCCAAGTTTCCTTCCTTTTTTTTTTTTTTGTTTCCTTCCTTTTTAAAGCTGAATAATATTCTATTATATGTGTATTTCATATTTTATTTATCTATTCATCTGTCCGTGGACACTTGGACTGCTTCTACTCCTTGGCTATTGTGTATAATGCTTCTATGAACATGGGTGTACAAATATCTCTGCAATATCCAGTTTTCCCAACACCATTTGTAGAAAAGAATGCCCTTTCTCCATTGAACTGTCTTGGTATCCTTGTTGAAAATCATTTGGCCATAAATGTTAGCGTTTATCTCTGAGTTCTCTGTTTTATTCTGTTGACCTATATGTCTGTCTTTATGCAAGTACCACAATTTTTTGAGTACTGTCACTTTGCAGTAAGTTTTGAAATCAAGGATTTTTTTTTTTAAGATTGTTTTGACTATTCAGGGTCCCTTGAAATTCCATATGAATTTTAAGATGGATTTTTCTATTTCTATTGGAATTTTGATAGGGATTGCACTGAATCTATCTTTGGATACTATTGAATCTTAATAATATTAGGTTTTCCAATCCATGAACATAGTTTGTCTTTCCATTTATCGGTGTCTTCTTTAATTCCTTTCAGTAATGTTTTGTAGTTTTCAGTATACAAGTCTTTTACCTCCTTAAGTTTATTCCTAAGTATTTTATTGTTTTTGATGCCATTGTAAATGGAATTGTTTTTTTAATTTCCTTTTCCAGTTGTTTACTGTAGGCATTTAGAAACAACTGGTTTTTTGAATGTTGATTTTGTATCCCGAAATTTTTTGGAACTTATTTATTAGTTAAAACAGGTTTCTGGTCCCAAACTTTTCTTTGTTGGGAGTTTTTTTGATTACAGTTTCAATTTCCTTAGTAATTATAGGTCTGTTCAGATTTTCTATTTCTTCATAATTCAGTCTTCGTAGCTTTTTTGTTTCTAGGAATTCATCCATTTCATCTAGGTTATCTAATTTGTTGGCCTACAAATGTTTAAAGTACTCTCTTATAATCTTTTTTATTTCTATAGAATCAGTTGTACTGTCTCTTGTTTCATTTCTGGTTTTGGCTGAGTCATCTCTCTTATTCTTAGTCAATTTGGCTAAAGTTTTGTCAATTTTGTTGAATTTTCAAAGAACAAACTCTTGATTTAGTTGATTTTTCTATTCTTTATTTTGTTTATCTCTACTCTTTATTATTTTCTTCCTTCTGCTAGCTTAAGTTTTAGTTTATTCTTTTTATAGTTCTTTCTGGTGTAAATTTACGTTGTTTAGATCCTTCTTCCTTTTAATGTAAGTGTTTTGTACATGTTTAAATAGCACTATTGACATGTATTTATTCTGGTAATTTTGCAGGAAAAAGTAGTGAGCTGTTGGCATCATTTCACCCCAGGTGTGATACCATCAGTAAACACTTTCCCACTACTTGTATTTCAGTTTCAGACTTCCATGCAACTTTTGCATCTAAGACTTTGGAGGGACTCTTCCTCTCTATGTAACTCCATCAAGTTTGCACTAATCAATTTTATTTTAGACCTAAGTAATTTTATTTTATTGTGATTATGTCTATATTTAACAATGGACTCATTTTGTTTGAAACAGCACTTAGAGGAAATGAGTCTACTTTTGCTTCTAAAATATTAAATATGAAGTGCTACCTTAACTTCGTTAAGAACAGATCAACTGCAGCAGTATTTAAACAACAGTAAAAATAGTAACTCTTCAGGGAAATAGGTGGCTTAGAGTTTTATTGGCTCTCCCAATTTATAACCCGGAGGAGAAATGTGCTTGGCTTGTATCCATTTGCTTGGAAGGGTAAATAAATCCATCACACCAAGGGCTGGAACACTCCTTTGTGGCAAGAACATGGATGGGAGGGGTATGTAGATTAGCATGTTTTTGCTGCATTTAACAGAAAGGCAGACTCAAAATGACTTAAGTAATAGAGGAAAAGGATACAGTCTGGATTACCTCATGGTCTTAAGATGGCTGCCAGCAACCACAGGGGTGATATGTTTTCTTATCATAGCCTGGAATACCCACTTCTGTCCATCCCATTTTAAAACATGGGATTAAAGTCCTACACTCTAGCCTTATACTGTCCATTATGGTAGTAGTAACAACATGTGGCTATTAAATACCTGAAATTTGACTATTCCAAATTGACATTTGTTATAAGTGTAAAAAGCACACTAAATTTTGAAGACTTTGTATGAAATAAAGGAATGTAAAGTATCTCAATAATTTTTATATTGATTATGTGTTTGAATGATAATATTTTGGATATATTGAGTTACATAAATATATTTTAAAAATTAATTTCACCTGTTTCTTTTCACTTTTTAAGATGTGTCTACTGGAAAACTTAAAATTACATTTGTGGCATGCTTTATGTTTCTACCGTACAACACTGAGTCTAGTCTTTCTTTTTTTTGGCTGTGCCACGTGGCTTGTGGGATCTTAGTTACCCAACCAGGGATCAAACCCGGGCCCTTGGCAGTGAAAGCATGGAGTCCTAACCACTGGACTACCAGGAAATTTCCTGCATTGCTCTAGTCTTATGGGATGAACTTTGGACACAATTTGGGCTGGACAGGAATGCCATGTGCTAAGTGGCTGAGGGGGTGAGTGGCCTGGGGGTGAGTGGCTATTGGGAAGAGTCAATCACAATGTCCTGCACAAAGAGAGAGGAATGGGGGGCAGCTATGTGTCTCTGTGCTCATCCAGTTCTGGGAGAGATGAAAAACCACTTTTCAGTACATTGAGTGTGTTCTGGGATGTGAAACAATGCCAACCCTCCCAACTCAACTTGTCTTTTCCTTCTTTCAGGCCTGTTTTCTAGTCTACAGGAAGCCATTCTCTACTCTGGTCATAGAGAGGATAAGATGGATTAAAGAGTGACGGGAAGAGGAGGGTGGAGTGAGGGTGCTGGCAACAGAGGGTTAGCTGCACAAACAGCTAAGGTTCCATCACAGGTGAAAAGACACATTGGAAATGCCATGTTAAAACTGCTTTGCATTAAGGTTGTCATTTCCCCCTTCATATGACGGAACATTCCAACAGATTCGGCTTTTCTGCTGGCTGTGTTTGGCTGGCTTGAAAAAGCACATAGAAGGACTTGGTTAGTGGGAAGGGGGTGGTCGCTGGATTCTTTCCTGGCGCCCTGTCTGTGAGTGGGAAGAAGCTGGGGCTGGAGGTGCTGCACTAATTTCCTGTACAATCCCTGAGTTCTGATTGCTTCCCAGGGTTGCCATCTTAATGCTTTCTGTTTCTTTTCTACTCTCTTAGCCCTATACGTACTAACCATTTTTACCCACCACATTCTTTACTATGGAGTTTCTCCAAATGCTCTCTGGCTTCCTCTCCATATAAAACCTAGTGTGTGTTACTCACCATCACATGTTCTCTACCATTTCTGTCTAGTCTAGTCAACTGGTTTTTCAAAGTGTCATCCAGACTGCCTGCTTCAGAATCATCTGTGGAGCTTGTTTAAAAGCAGCTCATCAAAGCTACTGGATTAGGATCTCTGGTGGGGCTGCGGGGGTGGGGGTGGGGGACAGGAACTTCCATTTCTAACAGACTCTCCAGGCAAATTCCATCCTTGCCAAAGTCCAAGAGCTTCAGAGACTCTTATGGAGAGAGTGGGTGCAGGCAGATGTGGAAAGGATTGTTTTCCAGTGTGGATCCTTGTGAGGGTTAAGTCCTAAGTTGGGGATATGGGCATCTCTGGATTTCTGTCAGGAAAGCAGGGCCAGCATCTGGTGGACTGATGGGCAATGGTGCCCAGTAGTGTGGCCGAGAAACTGTGCTCTCTTGGGGGCACAACAACCGAGGCCAAGAGGCAGCTTGTCTCTCTAGTGGCTCAAGGGCTCCCACAAGGATGCCACACCCTGGAAAACCCAGGTGTGTTTGTTTCTGAGAAAATGTGACACTAATTGGGGATTTTCAGAAATAACTATGGAGGTAGGGGAGGACGTGAGGCCCTTCAGTTGGGCAGGTAAGTTTTCACAGGGTTTCTGGGCTCGGTAAAAATTGTAACCTGCAGTCAAACTAGTAAGGCTGGACCACAGTTAAGTCGCAATCAAAAAATTTTGCAAAATAGCAGGAAAGCATCACTCATAATGCGTCTCCCCCGGCATTTCTGTGGCTTCAATCTACACATTTGGAGCCACATCTGTCTGGTAGATGTGGGTAGAAACATTCATGCTTGTTTTCCCAGCTCTGCTCAGATCTCTGTGCCCCGCTTTCCACTATACATTAGAGGACTCAACCTTTTCCTTTGAAGGGAGGGCCAGAGCTCCCCAAAGCTGGCAGAGACATTGGAGTTGCCCCCAGAAGGGAGTATCCTGGCATTTCCTGCTTCCAGGAGAGGCTGGAGAAGCAGCAGGCATCAGAGTCAACTGCCTGTCCTGGAGCCAACATAGGCCTCACCTCTGTACTTCTCTGCTGCAGGTTTTGGGGAGAGACCCAGAAGAACTGGGAGCCATAGGCCACGCTGTGAACATTTCACCATTCCCAGAGAGCCCAAGATCTGAGTCTGCTCCTTGGGGTGGAGGTGAGCAAAGACAGCAGCAGCCTGGCAACTTCCCTTCCATGTGTGCAAAGGAATCTCCTCTGTGTCAGCAGGAGGATTCGGCCTCTAATCTTCAGGCTTCTCCCTTGTAACTCCTCCACCCAAGAAGCCTTTGAAATTGCCACAGTACCATCCAGTAAACTGAAGTTTCAGAGCTTCGGACTTCCAAAAAGTGGGGGCTCCTGGAAAACCAAGTCCACAGATGGGGATGCCTATGTGTGAAGGGAAGGCTGTTGTGGGGTAGGAAGCACCATGAGATTTGGAACTCTGGGTGGCCCAGTGCAGGTCATTCCCTATTGAAAAAACATTTCTGTCCAGTCTAGTCAACTGTCTTTGGATACATACATTTTGGCCTTTGACAGCATGAATTGTTAGAAATACTCCTGCCTATTCTCTATTGATCTTACCTGTGAATAACACTTTTTATTATATTAAAATTCAATTGCTAGAGAACACGTTGGTATCCTCTAGATATAAAATGCAGGAGCTGCTTCTGTTTGGGTGTTTAAGGCAGTTGGGGTAACCATTCTATGCAGGCTACATCCGATGAAACGTATGGGATTTATTCTGCCACTGGAATGTCTAAGAGTTATTACTTTTCTCACAGAGCACGTTTATTTCTTTTTGACAGTATTTGAGGTTATGGACTCTATTTCTATCTGTAGAAAGGAAACAGTACACAATAAAATCTTGTGACATTAGACTAGGTAAAACCAAAGGCACTGATTTTTTTTAGATGAGGACACTCATTGCAATAACTGAAGGAACTAAGAATGTTTAACATTCTGAGAACATACTAAGCTGAATTTAAATGAAAGATGATCCCTGCTTCTTTCGTTCTTGCTTTAAAAATCAACTACATAATTAAATGGTTACAGATACTTCTCTTGTGGGGAGGAAAACAGCAGTCAAGATTTTTTGCATTCATGACAACAGGGCAGGAGTTTTCCTAACCCTTTGGCAAAATAGAGAATCAATACCAATCAGAAAAAATGCTAACAAAAGGCAAAATTCTCACGGGAACCTCAGGCGATAAAAGATTTAAAATGTGAATAAAACATCATAGGTCAGCATTAAAATAGACAATACATTTCTCTGCCCAGGCGAAGTATCCAGCCGATAACTAGTAGTGTAGAATGGACCTAACCACACTGAGAGGCCAAAGAGAAAGCCCTAGAACATCCACTTCACTTCCCCCTCATTTCCATGCAGAAAGATGTCCCTTTTCAGGGGGAGACAGTTACTCCATAAGCAGCATTTGGGGTCAGATGTTTTTCCCCCCAAGGTAAAAATCTCTGGAAATATAAACCTTGCCCATGCATAATTTCTAAGATTTGAGAGCAAAGAAACCAGACTTGCTTTCAAAATGAAAAGATGATTACCTATTGGTTAGTTTTGCAAATAAATAGGACGCTTTAAAACACTTACTGGGGAAATGATGAAGTTAAAAAATGGTCCATTATAGACAGGCTGAATTCTGACTAAAAGGAAATTGAAGCCATCTCCAATTGGAAGGGTTTTATGGACTCGGTGGAGAGGAACTCTCAGTTGTTGGTAATTATTCAGGATCATCCGTTCTTACTGAGTGGCCTCTCAGCATGGGAATTTCCATATTTCAAGGTCAAATCCTTAAAAAAACAAAACAAAACAGAAAACACTGTTTTGGCATCTAGCCATTATCAAGGGAATGCATTTGGCAAATATAAATCAACTCTATTATTTTTTGCCAAATCACGGAGAGTCCATCTGTATCTTCACCATTTGAAAGAATGCAGTCAACTTCCAATCAGAGGCAGCCTATCAGGGGTGGCCCAGGTGACCTGGTCTCATGTCCCTCCAAGTCACTGGCCTAACTGCATCCATGCCTAAAGGCCTCAGCTCCACGATAAGTCTGGCCATGACAAATTAAATATCTATTTTAGTGACTAAAATCTAAGCTAGAAACTTGCACACAGATTCATAGTACTTCAGAATTTAGAATGTTTTCAAAGTGGTTTGTAGAACCCAGTTTACATCCTTGTGTTAAAATGAACTACAGAGTTTATCACAGAGGCATAATAAAAATATCTAGTTCCTACTCCTGTTTCTCAACTAGCCATGTGGCTTTTCTTAATATCTTGAAGTTCATGTAATAATGACTAACACTCACTGAACACACACAAATACGCTAGGCACTATGCTAAACGCTTTATTTGCACTGGTTTTTGCATTCAATTCTCAGAACATCCCTAAGAGGTACAAGATGTTATTAGAGCCACTTTAGAGATGTAGAGACCGAGGGTTGGTGAACTTGGCCAAGGCCACCCAGCTCTACCACTAAAATGAAGCCAAGGCATTTTGATTCGAGTGTGGGCTTTTAACAGGCGCTTCATGCTGCTTCCCTGAGTTCAGGCAGTGTGGACTGTGTCAGTATTCACATGCATCTCACCTCATTATTCAGCTAATATCCCTGCTCTGGAACTGCCCGTATTTTCAGTCCTGATGAAGCTTGTCCAATTTTCTTCGTTTTAGTTTCACCCATTTATTTCCTGTTTCCAGAATTGTCTTCCATGATATGTAGTTATCTAGAAACGCTTGTTTTCCCAGTGTTAAATGAAACTAATGTTGTTGTTTGATGTATTGTTCTTGCTGTTCTAGCTGGCCCAGCTTCAGTAATATAGTTTTTACTTCAATTTAGAGGCAGCCTGCAGAGGAAATAACTCAACATCTCTTATGTATATATTGACGAGTGAGATCTACAAATAATAAGGGTGGCATCTGGTAATGCAGTATCTGTACTGCCCCCTTTTTTGTGTGTGGCTGTGTCACGCGGCTTGCGGGATCTCAGTTCCCCAACCAGGGATTGAACACAGGCCAGCAGGGAAAGCCCAGGATCCTAACCACTAGGCCACCAGGGAACTCCCAGTACTGCTGTTTTCTTAATTTTTTCTAAAATGGTGACACAAACCATTATCACCTGGCTTGATGTTTTCCTGGAGCAATCCAATATTTGTAGAAAGATCTACAATGCAGGGTTTCTTTCTTTGTTCAAAATTATGGCTATTCTTCCTTCAGATGAAGTTGTTGTATAGCTGGTCTCCAATTGGGAACATTCTAATTAGAAAACAGAAGAAGAACTTAATGGTGCAAAATATATTTGTGAACAATGAAGTAAAAATAGTAATGTTTCAAGTTTCAAGTTCATTATAGCAATAGTTATAATAGTTGAAAATAGAGAATAATGTAAATTCTAAATTTACATTAGATTTAGTGCCTAAATAAGTGATTGGTTAAATAGTCATCCATATTTTAGAATATCATGCTGCCCTGAAAAACCATATTTTAGAACATATTTTAAAGGTATATGAGAAATGTTTATGATAGATTATTAAGTGACAAAAGCAAATGATAAAGTCATATGAGTTATTCTTTAATCTAAAAATTATTTAGGTGTCTATTTTTTCCTTTCCCAAAATAGGTCTTTTATTTTTGTTCTCATGTTTATTATTGGTTTATAATTTTTACATTATTGTGGACAGACAACACTGTCTCTATGATATCAGTTCTTTGGAATTTGTTGAAATTTTCTTCTGATTTGGTACAGACCTTAGGGGCAGCCAATTTTTATACTGGTATATTGGCTGGATTTTCATTTCACATGATAACTCAAAATTAACTTCTATACACAAGGCTGGGCTTGGCGCCCCTATCTTTCTCAGATATCTCCTAGGTATACCTGGTATTAATATTTGTGCTAGATTTTTGTCTGGATTTTGGAACATAAAGACACATCTTTGGCCAGTTCTGGTATGCAATTAAGAGCCTACGGGATTAATCATTTTCTTTTCTCAGTTTGATATTTTATAATGTAAATATTAATCAACAAATGATGATCAATTTATTGGTTGACCTTGGCTATAGATCAGGATTTCTTATCTTCAGTACCACTGACATTTTGAGAATGTCTAGCAGCATCCTTGGCCCCTACCATCTAGATGCCAGTAGCAAGGCCCCCCTCTCCAGCTGTGACAATTTAAAATATCCCCTAGGGGGCAAAATCACCCCCAGCTGAGAACCACTACTGTAGAGAAATGGCAGTTCCCTTTTAAAACTAGTGACTAAGTGTGAGTTTCACTGAGTCAATAAGCACATTTATCGAGTCTTTAATGTGTACAAGGCACGGTGCTTTTACAGAAGCAGTTTTATTTAGGCATGGAGAAAGGAAGCTATGGTCTGCCTTATTCTCATTAAGCCATTTGTGGGGCACAAGGACATTGTAACACCAGGCTTCACTCCGTACAAAGAAGGCGATAATTCTGTCCTCTTAGAGCCCTTGGGAGAACGTGTGCACAAGGGCCAAAGCCTGCTGGGACGTACTGTCACTCAACAAATTGCAGCTTTTACTATAATTATTATTATTCAAGCTGACTTCATGCAGATAGACCAGGGCCATCAACCAGCTTGAGTAGTCTGCCCCTTCAGCTGATGAGACACACCACACCCACACGTCTTTTCTAATTGTTTCTACCAAAATAACCTCAGCATCCATGAGCAAACAAAACAAACAAGCAAACAAATGCGTTAAAAACCAATCATGTGGAGCCGCGAAGTGTTTGGCCAGTAGTTAAAAGTTCACGCTCCAAAGTCCCTCTGTGCATCGGAAGAACCGTGGTCTCTGCATCCGCGTATGACCCACGCGCTCTGTTTCTGTCTTGGGTGGCGCATAGATTCAACTGCTGGAGGAATGAATGGTTGTTCGGAGGTTTCTTTAGCCTGGTTCATTATCTGTTTTAAACTATCAGGGCTCCATCTGAGCGGGCCAACAGGAAGCCTGCTTTTGATTTAACAGTGCTCTGAACAAGCTCCTTCTATGGCTTTCCAAGAATTAATTACAGAGCTTAGTAAAGGCGCCGGCCGCAAAGTCCCGCGGATGCCTTTATGAGCAATTACAGCACCGGCATTGATGCCAGCAGAATAAGAATTTCCTTGGAGGACTGCTTGGA